CCAAAGACATACACACCACACACACCAAGCTCAGATCCCACAGGTTATTTGGAAGTCACCTAATTACAGTTATCTGGCTTGAAGCACTTTTGGCATCAGGGTGGAGTGACATCCAGGAATAGTTAATTTGTTAAAAAGGCCGATTATCATGGATTTACACAGTAAGCACATGCCTCAGGAACAGCCTAATCACATTCTTGGAGTGTAATACTGAAAGAGCAGAAAAGCATATAGGAGTAAAAATAAGATTTTTCTAGAAGTCTTACAGGGGTAGATAATTGACATCGATTTTAGCAAAATGACCTATCAGCTGCCTTTTTCAGCTATCTTCTCCATCATGCTGCATCTCAGGTTAACTCTCACTCTCTTCAGAAAGCCAAAAAAAGATCTGCAATCGGATTGTGAATGATTTCAAAGTGGCTGTTTTGATGCAGTTGCTTTGACAATGAGCAAAGACACTACCTTTTACTTCCACTGTTTCCACAGTTGTCCTCTTTTAGCATAAAATATTTGTAAAACATTTTTGGAAAGTAACAGACAAACAACGTTACTTAAAGCCTAGGAGAAAAGGGGATTCTTTCGTAGCAGTGCTCCTCAGTGACATGCTGGTATTTAGCTACATAAGGTCACCATTAACACCTTTGTTAGCCTAACGAAACAAATTCAGTTACCACTTTAACTGGCTTATTTATGTATGAGAAACTCAAAGGCGAAACAGAATTCAGAGCGTAAGGTAAGCTACTAAATTTAACAGAAGTGTTTGTGTGGCATAGGTCAGAAATAAACTTGGCCATACTCTGAACAGAGTCACACTGGATGCCCAGAGAAGGGCAGCACTGCACCAAGTCAGCACTACAGGCAAGTTACCGTGTGTATTCTCACACCCTTGTTTAATCAAGTAAATCCATTTACAGCTCACTTACCCCTCACAGCCAGGTATTAGAAAATATAAGGATTTTTTGTGAAGATGTTGGTAGCCAAATCTGGAGACTATTTGAACCACCTGGAACCCTTCCCCAGCCCCAGAATTTGCCATACTATTCCCTTCACTTACAGCATATTTTGTCACTTGTGTAAGTCAATGTAAATGAAAACATTCAAACCGTTAGTATCCTCCTGTGGCTTTAATGCTATGACTGGCTGTATATTAAACTTTTTATTACAGGAGATAGTCAGCGGAATTCCTAAACTCAGAAAGAAAGTCTCAAGAACATCTCCTTCCTTCCTTCGTCCTGCCAGTTGCAAACCCTGGGTTAGGGAGAGTGTCAGTCGTTAACATTCAGGGGAGCCAAAAGGCTTTACATATACTTATAAAAAGAATTTGCACAAATTTACCATTAAAAAGTCCATCTCGGGTTCCGCATTCGACAGGCTGCATTTTATTCAGCTTCCTCACAGGAGCTAATGCTGTGGCAATTACGTTAGTTACACCATGAGACAGTTCAAGACTGAGCTTTCCAAAGGAGAAACAGGACATAACTGCCTTTTGCTTTATCTCTTTGAAGCTTCGAAAATTTTAAGTGAAGAAGGAAAAATAATGGAGTTCTTTGCAAAAGCGTCAGAATGCAGAAACATGTTTTTAGAAACCATCCAAGAAGCACTACAATTTCCCACGAACTTTTGATTTAAAAAAAAATAAAAATCAGAAGTGCAACTGGATTTTTTACATAAATAATATTTATCTTGAACCAAAACATCTTCCTTCTCACTTAGCTTTCCAGCTATCCTCCACAGTAAGTTTGAAAGGTTTAATTTCAAAAAAAAGTAACACTGAAACCTTCAACAAATCAAAGGCTTACACTTAAATTTTAATTACTGCGTTGACATATAGAGAATATTTGATTTTTCAAGGTAACTATAAGTTAGTATTTTAATCTAAGAATATTAGCAATTCATAATAGTTAATATATTGTGCACTTTAGGAATTACAAGAGATTACAGAAGAAAAGGGCTAGAAAAGTCTCAAAAACCCACTTGTTCCAACGTCCTGACCTAACACTGCTGCTACGAATCAGCCTGATACAGCAGAAAATCGCTGTCCCTTCCAATTAGTTTTGCCAGCATCTAATCTGAATCTCTCATTATGCCCAAATCCAACTCCTCCAATTTACTTAAAGAAGATATAAATAGAAACAACTTCTTTCTTTTTGCCAAGCCTTCTTGATACTCAATAAGCCTTATGTTACTCCTAAAGTGTTTCAGCTCAGTTTTATTGTGTGGTTTTGAGAGGTCTTTAATCCTTCCTCAAGATTCCACATTAATACGCATTGATTTTAGCTGGGTTACATTTTTCATTTCTGCTCAGATAGATGCACTCCTTACCAGGATGGCAGGCAAGTTTACAGGTAGATAGTGTCATTGGCAGTCTGAGATACAGGTTTTTGGACATTCCAAGAGAAAGGGAGAAAAACCCTTTAAATAAGGAAACCAAAGTAATCCCATTCTGAAGCTAATCTGCAGCCAGTTCCAGCCTGCAATCCAAGGGAGGCCTATGAACAGAGAATCTAAATATAAAATCAAGAGAAGTATGCTAATATTGACTTACTGTACAGTAATCAAGTAAGGAAGTCAGAAAGAGTACTACTGGAAATGTCATGTTGAAAGAATCAGTGGGAGAAAAATTAAAAGAGTAAAACTTCAGAGGCCTCACTGACACAGTGAGGAGAGGACTGTGTACTACGTGGATGCTACCCATACTGTTTGTCTGTAATGTAGAAAGGCTTTTGTGCACCACTAAACTAGAAGTTTAATTAAAAACAACTGCATGGAAATATCATCCTCGTTACTTGTTGGAGTGCAAAAATGTATTTTGAGATAACTAAAGATTCCATCTGTACTCCACAAAACCAGTAGCTTGTCTCCACTGTAAAGTGGGGAGTTAAGCAGAAAGAAAAAACAAGCAATGCAAGAAACACTGTTTACTGACTTCCACGCTACGTGAGCAGACATTTCTGTATTCTTTACAGACACGAGCCAGTATCTCCACACAGCTTAACACTGTGATAAGCAAACACATCAATTTTGGCTGATACAACCTTGTGAATCTCAGCACTTTATCACAGAGAAGTATGTTTCCTTCCAATAAACAAGTACCACCAAAAATTAGTTCTTTCAAATTAATCAACAACTAAGGACAACATCAGCCAAATACTGTGGGGGGAAAAATTTCCAGCCTCAAGAAACAAGGACAATATTCTTTTTGGGGTGAGGAGTGCAGGCAAGAGGCATGAGGCAAGAGGCTGAGGCATGTGCGCAGGCGGAAACTTTCCCATAGTCTTTCCCAATCACCCAAATTAGCTTATTATAACCTAATGCACAAAATTAATAGCATATTAATGGATATATAATAGCTATAATAGGAAATGCCTATTTCCGCTAAATGTGCAGCTCTTCACCTCAGCTACATACATACATGGGGACACGGTCACTAAGTGAGGAGAGGTATTAAAAACATTTAAAACGCCGTAGGTCACAACCAGAAATTTGAAAGACGCAGTTCTCCCTACAAGAAAGCAAATATTCAAGCCACATAAAATAGAAACTCATTTTTCCTATCACCTTATTGTTAGGCTTTTTACATTACCTTGATTTATAAAAACAGACCAGAATGTACTGCAGTAGGTTAGCATCAAAGTTCAGCCTTTTGCAAGACGAAGTGTTAAGTCTCAGCCACTCAAGCTAAGTCAAAAGATAGATCCAAGGTCTTTTTTTTTTTTTTCCTTGGTGACTATGCTATTACAGTTTCACAATGGTCTCACAGTAAAGGCACGCGGGATGAACAGATGCAATATAGAGAAATTGGGAAAAAATGGTGTAGTTTCCAAGAGACTTCCACAGGACACACCAATTTTATGCAACTTTTCAAAGTTTGAACCTGGAACATAAAGGATTGCAGAGACACAACAACACAAAACATTTAACCACCTACCAGCATTAACGATGGCATCAACCTCAAGCACTGTAATGTCGCCTCTATAGAGAGAAACTTTCTCACTCAGACTTCTCTTCCCCTGCAGATCTTCTTTAGCATTTTCGCCTACAAAACAAGAAAGCAGTAAAAACAGATTACAAACGTGGGTCTGAGACTACTACTTAGAAGTCCAGAGCAGGTTTCAGCCGTTCCAGTTACACTGCTGCTGTCAGACTGCAGCATCTTTCAGTTTTGCCTCGAGAGGGCACTGGTTACCCAAAGATACTGGTGTTTCCCTAAAATCACGCTTGGTTTTCACTTGTTTTCAAATACAACCTACTAGGAAGCACTGATTCCTTGCCCAGATGCCATTTGATTAAAAAACTGTACAAGCATACAAATTATTGGAGCTAGAACCATCAAATAATCTATTTGGTAACCACAAGGGTGCAAGTTATGAAAAATGAGAAGAATTAGTTAAGGTAACCCTCCCACTGAAGCAGTAATTTATCCAAACCAAAGTTATTCAGAACATATACAGCAATGCGTGCCATCAGCCAACAGCCCTGAAACTCAGAACTAGCCCTGGCAGCAAGTAGTGGGGAGAAGGAAAACCTGAACAATAACACCAGCAAGTTTAAACTTGGAGCTTTGATATCTTAAATTGCTCAACTAGAAGGTAGGGGGGTGAAGACACAACACACATTAGGTTTCAAAAGACTCATTGCTAAACCGTTATAATAGGTCACTTATTCCAGTAAGCTCTTAATTTTTGCATCACCACTTCATTCACTTCTAGCTCTAGGCAATCCTGCTTTAGCAGGGGAGTTGGACTAGATGATCTCTATGGTCCCTTCCAACTCTAAAAATTCAGTGAAATTTGCATCACAATCTCTATAACTATATATCTCTCTATATAACTTTATATATATCTCTATATATCTCTACATAACTCTCTCTATATATCTATATATAACTCTCTATATAACTCTGTATCTCCACAAAGACATTGGCCTAAAGTTTAACATTGTATTGTTAGACACTCACATCATTAGCAAAGAACTAATGAGAGACAGAATGACTGCTTAATTGATTTTTTTATTAGTATTGAAAATTACTTCTTTCTGACACAAGCCAAGTCTAAAGAGGTTTGGGTTCATATATTGGTCAGAAATAGAACTCAATTGCTAAAGTAACAATTTAAGTGGGAAATAGTTCCCCATCTTCAAAACAAGTGATTTTTTTTGTAAGAAAAAAACCTCAATAAAAGATTTAGTGAGAGGGTAGAGGGAGTCCAAACTAATCAGACCCTCTAGTTTCACATCAGCCTTCATTTTAATCCATTTCCACAAATTTGAGTATACCTGCTTAAATTCATCAGAATTACAAGCAACTCCATGCAGAAATAAGAAAGTTGTGTTTATTTTAGGGGTTCCTCTTCTAACTTCAGCACAAAGGACTGATATCAGAAATCATCATTTACTCAACCACCCCAAAGTAACCACTCTGCTTTAGAGCAGCTATCACACGCCTAGAGCAAAATCCACACCACTTCCAGCAGAAGATACTTTGCTGCTGTGACTTACACTAGCATAAAGGTAGTCTTGTATTCAAGTGTGTGTATTCAGGAGTTTGATTTCAGTATTTGGCTCCTGGAATGACTATTCCATGGCCACCAGACCACCCTCAGTCTCTTAGCCAAAGCAAAGGAAGCGCTTATGTGGAAAGGTATCAAGTTTTTATTATCTTATTAGGAAGTTTCTAACACTCTAACTTAAAAGTTGTACTGTTCACTCATTTTTCCTCAGAAGGTAACAACTGCAGTTAGCTGTTGAGATGTACTAAAATAAAAATCAGCCTCTGTGACCGACTTGCAGAATCTGATTTATTATCTGCTTTCATGTTAACTGCATTCTGCCAGCAAGTAGGACAGTTGTTTTCCCCATCTCTCCCCAGTGAGCGTCCTGCTGGAGCTCTGCCAAATTTAAAATACACACCATCATCCTCCCCCTCCACCTTCTGCCTGAGTTACTGCAACAGTAGTTATCATCAAGCCAAATACACCAAACACTCTAACCTAAAATAATTTAAATAGAAAATACAGTTTGGATACTAAAGTATTTGTACCAATACAATATGAAAAAATTCATGAGGAAGAGCCATGAGGAGAAGAGAAACCACACAATAAAAAAAGAAGTTAACTGTCATTATCACTAGTTTGAGTCAGAGTGAAACCAGAGATTTCCCTTAGTCAATTCACCAGCAAAGTCACCTAACTCTTCCAGAGGGTGCCACACAACATGATGTTGTGCACACTGGTGCTGCCTCCTCATTTCTGTCCTCCACAGCCTTCACAAGCCTGCCTCTAGCTCTCACTCTTTGCAAGGACTGAGTATATTTGAGCGTGGTTTTCCTGAGACTCCTTCCCCATGAAAATGCATCAGTAAATTCACTGCCTCATAAGAAAAACCTACACCAAAAAAACCCCTCCTACATGATCTACCACATCCTCTTCAGCAAACCCCTTACCTGCCCCACAGTTCTTGGAAGAGCCCTCATGACCTCTGTCTTTAGAGTTCAGCTGTAAAAGCACATGTTGCCTTGTACATCTTTGATAGACTACCTTCATTTCTTTCAATAAAAGTCTGATTTAACCGAGGATTTGAGCTTGCCCTTACCTTATTTCGCTCTGGTTTTTACAGAAGGATGCTCAACACTGATGGAAGTTGCGGGGAGCCAAGTGTTGTTTGCAAAGGCACTCAACAGGTCCACTAATATGTTGCTGATTACAAAAGTAATCCCAATAGCATACAAATAGTTGTAGGAGAGACGACTGTTTTTCTTTTGCCATCTGTTCAATCTCTGGGGCTGGCAGACAACATTTCCTAACAAAGTCAAAACTGATATCTGATTTGGGTTATTTTCTTCTCCTGTAATCAATTTATTCATCTTGGCAGGGACAGCAAAGTCATTCCTGGCCATTACGAATAATTCACTTCTCACCTTTGTCTCCCATCTCTTCCTTCACCAAGCATTTGTGTCTGCTTCTCAGATTAAAAAAAACCAACCTGCACTCATTTACTTCAAAGTCTCTTCCCAAGGTAATGGTGGATCTCAGATCTGTGAATAAGTATGGTCAGTCCTCAATTACGCCCAATAAAACTCAAATACTGTAGGTATTATCCTGTCATTCATGGTACTGTAATTCAGCAAGGACAAATCAGCAATTCCAAGGCATTGCATATTTCGCAGAGGACAAACACCATGTGTACATACTAGCACATCAATAAAAACCCTAGCAGTGATAGATTTACCTTGTACTTGTAGCATAATGAGAATATTTCTTGCTCTCACTAATGAAAAAGCTCTACATATATCCTCAAGAAATAAATCCTCTGAAGGGGTTGCTATGTAACCTAGTCTTCAATACAAGATATAAAACAGGAGTTGAGTCCGCAGACCAAAAGGCTTAAGTTTTTAGGAAAAAGAAAACATGCTTGCCAAGCAAATCAAACATTCAAGTCTGTCTCCACAATGGCTGTTGCATCTTAAAGGCAAAACAGGTGAAGAGCCAGGAATATTCAGATATATTCCACTCCTAAAAAACAAAAACCAACACATCACACACCACCAAACAAAAAAACTCCCACCAACTAAACCCACACTACATCAAGGCCATGACAAACTCCATCTCTGTTTTAGATGGAGGCATCACAGACTCCAATACAAGAAAATAACTTTTTGTGTTCACAGCTACAGTCCGAACAAAAATTTCAGGACAAAGAATAAGAGAGACTGAATTTTCTGAAGTACCTCCATAGGAACACCAGCAGAGCTACCGTAAAATTTAGGAGGCACTAGAAGATTTGTAAAATCATACAGCTGAGCCGTGAAGATTGCCTGGGAAGACTCCCTCCCTGCTGGAAGATCTTCTCCCATCTCCTTCATAGCTCTCCTGGCTCTCAAACATGCACTGAGCACCTGTGCAAGAAGCCTGGGTGCCTTCAGATCATCAGTTTTAATCAAGTCACGGCTAGTAAAATGCCAAAATAACTGTTCAAATGGGATTGTGGCAGTATCAAGTATGAGCAATAGCTTCTGTTTTATTTGGGATTTTATCCTTGTGTACCCTTGAGCAGACTGTTTCTGGGACTTTCCTTCCCTCTAGAGTAAGACTCTGCCCCATGTCCATCTCCATTGAAAAAGTAGTAATAGAGGCTTACTGGGAGGTGCTCCTAAAATAAAATATATATCCATACACGCACAAGGTGAGCTCTCAAAGCAGTGACAACCAGCATTAGTTTGATCATCTTGACCCCCACCTCCCCCCAGTCAATTTTGTCACTCATTTTTCTTCCTTAATCTCAGAATTTGTTATTTGTGTGAACAGTAAGGTTATGAATAGTATTACAGTATTAAGAACAGTAAGGATTATGAATATAAATTGCAGTTTAAGCACATTAATGTTTCACATATTTCATTACAATTATGTGTGCGTGACAAAAGCAAATAAACCCTTTTTGTTTTGTTAAAGGAGAATTTTACAGGGTACATTCATGTAAAGTCTGGCTATCTGATTTCCGAGACAGTGCAATCCCGGAGTCTTCATCCCAGATGACTTCCCAGGATCAGTTAACACCAGCCCTGCCCCTGAAATAAAAGGCCCTACTTAATCAAGACCTTGGACTAAGAGCATCAGCAAAGCAATGATCACCCATACAGCCAGATTTCACAGCCATTTAGAGCTTTCAGGTTCAGAGGAGTTCAAAAAATTAACTGGCACAAAGGAAACTGTTAAGGAGGAAGGTAAATGGAATATTCACAAACTTTTGAAATGCCTTTCTCAATTCCACTCATATCATATAATAGAAACTATCATAAAGTGACTGTAGGCATAACTACAGTCTCTTCAAGCCTATTCATTCAAAAGAAATTAAATTAAATTTGCAAAGCGAGACACTGAGGTGTAAAGCAACCCCATGCACATGCCAAAAATCTGCATATTCAGAAGCAGGTGTGGACCTAACAGAACCCTAAGGAATTGCTTTCATGCTAGGTGCTTCCTAAGACTAAGTTTTGAGTTTTTTCCCCAAGTACTTACTCAGCCTTTCTGCCAGTTTTTTGAC